TCTGTATTTTTATTCAGATCTAAAAAGTGCTTGGTTTGGGTTTTATGTAATTACGGCAAAGCCTCGAGGGCTATCTGCCTAAAGTGAGTGTTGCCTTCATGGAGGACATTCTAAGGGGAAAACTAGCTCGTAACACATGGGGAAAACCACGAAAACGTCCATGCAGCCAGCCCGTTCGCGGGATTCCAACCTTGGACCTAACTTCCAGTGTTCAGCGATTTTATCTCTCGGCCGCTGGTGGGAGAGATTTAAAAAGGATATAAATAGGTATATGTGCTGCTATTTCTTTCACTGCATCTGTTAATATATTTATAATACAGTATATGTGCGTGTGTGTGTGTGTGTATATTTATTTAAAACAGATTTTGTGTGCCTTAAACTTCAATGCTTCTGGAAGTTACCAATGATATATTGGTAATGACAGATACAATGGTCATGACGCCCATGCGTCCAGCACGTTCGCGGGATTCGAACCTCGGACCGCACTACCAGTATTCGGAGATTTTACCGCTCGGCCACTAGTGGGATCGACTTAAAAAGGGCATAAGTAGGAATATGTACTTAAAATTTCCTTTCACTGCATATGTTAATATATATATACGTATATGTTTGTGTGTGTGCAAGATGATATGGTTTATGATTTATAGTTATTTAATTCTTTTTATTTTCCTTCCTATTACTTTTGTTAAAAATTTGTTATATTTTTACTCACTAGTAAATCGTCTTTCAATGCATCAAACCAAAGTTTTCTGCTTATTAGTATCTTCAATACATAGTATATTTGTAGCTACGTGATAAGTATAGCTCCTAAATAAATAAAATTATTGATATAATCACGGGTTGCTAAAAATTAAAATTTTTTTGGAATTATTATTGAATAATTTAAAAATTATTATTTTCATTAGGAATATCAAATACGCGTACGCGATGCTATTTTTTAATGATTTAACTTATGACGTTGTTGCATAACCTTTTCAGACAAAATAACGTATTTTAATCATAAAATTCCTGTTAACAAATAGCTTACAAACATGTAACCTTTTAGAAAATTTTCATTTTGCAAAAGATCATACTTAAAATCATGTTTACGGGCCCTAGTCTGGACACCATCGAGATGGAAGAACGAGTCGTTTTTTGCGATCTACTCGACAGAGAGCGAGTCCTGGTGTCCTCGTCTCGATCATTACAGAGATCGACGCGTCGGAAATTTTTCCGTCAGCTGGATAGCTGTAGTTTAAGTTTCTGACTGTCGTTTTAGAGCTAAAGTGAGGACGGCGGATAGTTTATAGAAATATACTTAATGGATATTTTAATTTCTTAAGTTTTATGAAAAACTCGAGTATTTCGCTATAGAAATAACGCATTTGATGCTGACGATTCTAGATTATTTATGTATTCTACAGTAGCAATTCCTTAATTAAATTTTAGTGAAAATAATATACTTGGTGTTTTCCTATTTCACATATAAAGAAGGAGTGCATACTTTTAATTTAAAATTTTAATTTTTCAACTAATGTATATATCAATGTACTTAATTTCATGTTTGGATGAGTAATTTATAAATTTTGAAATTTTATGTTTTATATTATAATGTATTTCCCTCTACTTTTATTTTAATTTGTAGTGTATAAAAAATTCATACACTAACACGTGCATTAAAGAATATGTAGTATATATTTCAAATTATTCACATCATATTATTCAACATTTACATTAAATTGCTTTGGGTTAAACAAAATTATTTAAGTAGTTTTAACTGTACTGATATGAATGTCAGTTTCCAAAATCTCCTGTATAAAGCAAGTTAAATTCCTGTATAATTTTCGGTTAAATTCTTGTAAATATTATAATGCAAAATTTATAATTAGTTATCAGATTTTTTAATGTGGTCTGCTTTTAGATATTACATCAGTTTTGTATTTTTATTCAGATCTTAAAGTGCTTGGTTTTGGTTTTATGTAATTACGGCAAAGCCTCGAGGGCTATCTGCCTAAAGTGAGGGTTGCCTTCGTGGAGGACTTTCTAAGGAAAATTAGCTTGTATACACGTAACACATGAAGAAAACCACGAAAACGCCCATGCAGCCAGCCCGTTCGCGGGATTACAACCTTGCACCGAACTTCCAATGTTCAGGGATTTTACCGCTCAGCCGCTTGTAGGATCTATTTAAAAAGGGTATAAATAAGAATATGTACTGCAATTTCTTTTTCTTTCACTGCAACTGCATCTGATAATATATTTATCAGATGCAGATTTATCAGATGCATCTGATAATATATTTAATTATATATATAAAAATATACATATATAATATTATATATATATTATATATATATATATATATACATTTATTTATTTAAAACAGATTTCGTGTGCCTTAACCTTCTATGCTTCTGGAAGTTACCAATGATATGTTGGTAATGAGGCCCATGCAGCTAGTCCGTTCGCTGGATTTGAACCTCGGACCGCACTACCAATGTTCAGAGATTTTACTGCTTGGCCACTAGATCGATTTAAAAAGGGCATTAATAGGAATGTGTACTGCAATTTCCTTTCACTGCATATGTTAATATATTTATAATACATTTAGTTACTTATTTATTTAAAACAGGTTTTGTACGCCTTAAATTTTTATGCTTTTGGAAGTTACCAGAAATATGTTGGTAATGACAAATATATTAGTAGTGACAGATATATTGATATATTGGTTATTAGAGATATGTTGGTAATTCAGCCAACCCGTTCGCGATATTCGGACCTCGGACTGAACTACCAGTGTTCAGCGATTTTACCTCAAGGTCGCTGGTGAGATCGATTTAAAAAGGGTATAAATAGGAATATGTACTACAATTTCCTTTCACTGCATATGTTGATATATTTATAATACAGTTATATATATATATATATATTATATAGTTAAACATATATATATATATAATATATAATATAATATAATATAATATATATATATATATATATAGTTTTATTATTATTGTTCAAAAACAAGTTTTGTTTGCCTTAAAATATGTACTACAATTTCCTTTCACGCATATGTTGATATATTTATAATACAGTTATATATATATATATATATTATATAGTATTTATTTATTCAAAACAAGTTTGTTTGCCTTCTTAAATTGTTTTGCTTCTGGAAGTTACCAGAGATATAGTGTTAATGACAGATATATTGGGCTGAGAAATAAATGTCAAGTTGGTGCATTTGAGAGGTTACATATGCTATTTGTTCTGGTATTTTCACCAAACAGATAAATTTACATAGTTATCAACAAAACAAAATCAAATTACGATTCAATCGAAAGTTTGGAGTTTATGGTGTCATCAGCGCTGTAGGATGGTACCCACGTATCTATAATTGCACCTACTGACACGGAAGAATACCAGAGTTCATTTATATAAACAGAAAAATCTTTCCATTATCATAATATGCAGCTGTTATGCAATTTTCCCTTCTATTTTATAAAATATATATGTTTATGTGTGTGCATTTATATGCAAGATGATATGTTTTGTGATTTAACCTATAGTTATTTAATTCTTTTTATTTTCCTTCCCATTACTTTTGTTAAAAATTTCTTATATTTTACTCATAGTAAATCGTCTTTAATGCATCAATTCAAGTTTTCTGCTTATTGGTATTTTCGATACATGTAATTGTAGCTACGTGATAAGTATAATTCCTGAATAAATAAAATTATTGATATAATCATGGGCTACTAAAAATTTAAAAAAAAATTTTGATTTAAATTCAATAGGAATATTAAACACGCGCACGCGATGCTATATTTTAATGATTTGATTTAGGACACCGTAACATAACCTTTTAAGACAAAAATATTTTAACCATAAAACTGTTAACAAATAGTTTACAAATATGTAACCTTTTAGAAAATTTCCATTTTGCAAAAGATCATACGTAAAATTATGCTTACGCTCTTCACATATCTGCAGTTTTGTGTAAAATATCCATTGACTCTTTCCATTTCTTTTTTCTGTGCTCTTTACTAAATGTTCTATCAAGTTTATCACTTAACAGCTGCAGAGTTTTTCGAAAAATTTCACCATTTACTCCAACTGCTTGGTAATTTTTTTTTTTTTTTTTTTTTTTGATACCGCCATCTTTATTGAAAAGCACGTGCGAAGCAGCACTTTTGACAACAAACTACCCCCTTTTCCCTGAGCCTCGAGCAATGTAGAGGTGAGACAGACTGGTTGCTAGACAGACGTTTCTTCACATACCTGAAGTTTTGAAAAAGCCATTTCTTTCTGCGTTTAAAATATCCATTAACGTTCTCCATTTCTTTTTTCCATACTCTTTACTAAATGTGCTATCCAGCAGCGGAGTTTTTCGGAAAATTTCACCATTTACTGGAACTCGTTTGCTTTTTTTTTTTTTTTTTTTTTTTTTTCCCTTCCTACCGCCACCCACAGTAATAAACACGTGCGAAACAGCCTCTTTGACAACAAACTACCCCCTTTCCCTGAGCCTCGAGCAATGTAGAGGTGAGATAGACTGGTTGCTATGCAGTAAACGTCACTTCCGCACAGAATTTCCACTTCATTTTCCCCCGACGGAATTTGAAGGGGCCAGACTCGCTCTCCCTTCTGCTGTCGAGTGGAAAGAGAATCCCGACTGGTTTTCCGATATCTATCTCGACCGGTGTCCAGAATAGACCCTTAAATGTTTCATTGGATTAAATTTTTCAGTTTGCATAAAATTTTTACTAAAATCAGATTGTTTCTTAAATATGAAAGCAAGAGGATAACCTAATTGTAATATAAAGAATAAAATGTTGCGAATTTTTTCCCTCGTCTTAAAAAAAAAAAAAAGACTTTCTATACGGCGACCTCTGCTGGAACGTTAAAGGACATAAAATATCTCCTCTCTAATGAGAAAGTGAGTACCATTTTCTACGAAAAGGAAACCGTAACCGAAAATTTACTTTTGTTCTCCTTTCTCAGCATGCTTTTCTCTTGGCACAAGTTGCGCTGAACCGATGAATTAGTAGTTCACTAAAATGTGTAGCGAAAGTTGTAAGCAATGTTTTTTCTTATTTTGTAATCATAAGCGATCCTTACAATTTCTTATTAGTTGATTGTGCTTTCATCTTTTATTGCGTGCTTTTGTGCAAGAAAGCTGTAATTAGCAGGTATGATTTTATTAAACAACTGTTACGTAAATGATTTTAACAATTTTGATAATAATTTCTGGAATTGATTGGACGCATTTCTTATTTATTACTGACGGTTCAATCGTAAAATGATCCAGTGATGACTTTCACATCATAAATAATTATAATAAATAATATTCAATCTGAAAACTATTTTGTGAAGAAAAAACTTAAACTCGCTGTTTATTTTTTTGTATGTATTGAGGTGTTTAACACGTGCACATGGGTAGTGCAAATGCTGAATTATGTTCACGAAGTTCTGTGGATAAGCACAATTCGCCAGATATGAAAATGCAGCGACCCGAATTCTTTCCTTGTTCTGAATGTGGGCGAAAATTTACTAAACGAGCTCTAGAAGTTCATAAAAATTCGTGTTCCGAGAAAGATGATTGTCAGTGTGTTGTCTGCAAAACAACCACAAGAGTAAAGCATTTTACTAGGGAAAGCAGTTTCCCTAGTAAAGAAAGCCATGTGCATTCAGATAGCTCATACTCTGATTCTTTTGAAAATAAAAATGATAACACTGTAAAGTATGAGCTTAGTGAATTATTGCAAGGGAAATTTAATGATGCATCTTCTATACTCAATCAAAGTACTGGAAATTTTTCATCTGAAAATCAGGTATATGTAAATATAATTCCCAATAATCAAATGTTGGATGATTTGATGAAAAATAATATATTGGAAAGCAAGCATAATCTTTGTAATACTAATAATTACTTAGCAGCTGCAGTAAAACTTGAAAATCCAATAAAAATGGAGTTTGAATCAAATGATATGCAGAGTTCTGATCCAAAATATGTGTTTTTATGTCCAGATGCATCTGGAATGAGCGATAGCAATGATGACCAGCAGGATGTTTCTCAAAAGTTTCTTATGCACTCTACATCCAGTGGCAGTTCAGATGAGCATGATGCAGATTCATGTAATCGTAAGCTATTCTGCTGTGTCTGTAATCAACATGTTTATTGGGAATCCTTTGGGATGCATGTTATTCAGCATTGCAAAATTATTGACAACAATTATTTGAGATGTCCTGAATGTAGTAAAAGTTACTCAAGACCTGCATTATTCCTTATTCATTTTTATGTGCATGTCTCATCTCATCCTTTGGATTGTTCAGAATGTCGTTGTGAATATCCCAAGTGTGTCGATGCTACAAACCGTGCAATTGTTGAGCACTGTTATGCCGAAAGCATCCCTTTTCATTGTTACATTTGTCTGAAACGTTTTGGTCACTGCCAAACTATTGTAAATCACATGCGACTTCATTCAAAAGAGATGCCATTTACTTGTCCAGAGTGTCAACGTTCCTTTCGCCAAGTGGGCAATCTTCAGCGTCATATGACCACTCATCGAGGGGACAGGCCTCATAAATGTCCCGATTGCTGTCGATCATTCGCAGATCCAGCAACGTTGCGTAATCATGTTAGAGTCCACACTGGAGAAACACCATATATTTGCAATATTTGTAAAAGGGGTTTTTCACAGATTGGCAATTTAAAAAGACACATGGCATTGCATTTACAGAAGGATGCCGCTTCTACTCAAGGCACAGCAATAGAAATAGTTGCAGAAGAAAACAGTTTGTCCATCGTTAATTCTCCTGAGCTTCCAATTTACAGTAAAGACACCAAGAAAAGAAAGGTTAATACATCTGAAGGCTATCAGAATGGAGATGGTAAGTGCATGCCTACAGAAAATTCAAAAGTAAAATGTGTAAAGCGCGTATTAACTGAGTCGGGTGCACTTGTGTCGCCTGTGAATAATAAAAAGTTAAGTTTTACCTCTAAAAAGTCACAAAAGGGTCGTAAAAGGAATGGAAAGTTCCGTCTGTTTCCTTGTCCTACATGTGGAAAAGTGTACACTTGGCAGCATGATTTATCAATTCATTTTCGAACGCATACTGGTGAGAAGCCATACAGGTGCGATATTTGTGACAAACGTTTTGCTCAAAGTGGTGCAGTCCGTATTCATAAAATTCGTCACCATTCGAATGGTGCTCAAAGCAAAATGAGGTGGAAATCCTGATAAAATATGCAGTGTACATTAGCATGTATACAATTGTTTAGATCTGATGTATTTTTATATACTCTTTTAAACCTTCAAGGCAATTTTACTATGACTTCATATGGAGAAAATACTAAGTAGAAAAGTGTCAATAAATCATTGTGTAAATTCAATGTTAAATGCATTGACTTGTATTGAAAAGACTTACCTCAAAATTGCTTGTGTTGTTTAAACCTAAATCGTTATTAGTAAAAGCTGAGATGTATTTATGTGTAATTTTAGCAAAATTGTATTTAATGTTATATCATTTTAATATTGTGAGCATAGTTTTTAGTTGTTAGGAATTGTTTTTATATTTTCATTCGATGAAATTATCTTTCTGTATATACCGTCTCAGAAGTGACTTTAACAAAATTTCATAGCTGTGAAACTGTTCATTATTTTCAACTAAGTACTAAAAATCAATTCATCCCTTAACCTAAAGTAGAGTCTCGGGTTTATGTGAGATTTGATGATATTGTTATTAGATGATTATTATTTTAATTTGGTAACCTTACCTTTTGTGATGCCTATGATCATGATCATATCATCATAGCTGATGCACAGTGCCAGGTCTGTATAATTGTCGCCAAAATCCGTGCAACCGTCTACCAAAGTAGGACCTATAATTCTCTGATGTAATTTTAAGCAAAAACATCACTGTGTGCAAACTGAGAACAACAGTGAAAAACGTTATGTTCTGCAAGGCATCATGGTTAATCTTTGGATTATGGTAACTTGGCGAAAATTTGGTGACCAACCCTGCTACAGCAACCTGCTAGTTTTTGTTTGAATGCCATTTTGTTTTCATGAAGTAAAGGCATTTTTTTTTTTTATTCAACATTTTTTTCCAATAATCTGCTAGCGGAATTACGCTTATGCTAGAACTTTTATGGAACAAAAGTACTTAATCATGACGAAGATTAGGTGCGAAATTGGGACAAAGGGCAGAATCGCCCACTGCTTACAGCGTTTGTAAGAATTGCACATACACGGTATCATCCATGTACACGTCGGCCTATTTTCACTTAAAAAAACATCCCAGAATTGCACAAAAATAGCATTGCGCACACTCTTGACTTTATCCATGTACACTGCTAAAGTCCTAGCTAGTAACCTTTATCGCCTTACCAAAATGTCGCCAAACTACCTGTTACCATATTCCAAAGATTAGCCGGCATCATTCAGACAAGAGCTTTTTCAGCCATAAGCAGAATAACTCAAGCTTCATTGCTACAGAATCAGATCTTGCTACATTGTAAAAATTAGTTTTAGGATTTTGTCTGAATATTATAACTTTTGAAATTAATGTCAATTTGGTATAAGAACCAACTAGTCACAGCAAAGCAAACATGAATTCACATTCAGTTAGTGGTTTTGAAGAGTTAGCTGCATATTTATGCATGGGCAATTTTACCTTCCCTGATTTGATTCAGCTTAAACCCTACTGTATGATGACCCCATAGCATATGTGAATGGATATAATAGTTTCTATGTCTTAAGCCATGGAGCCTAATGACCAAACATGAACTTTGTTCATCTGAGCGAATGTAAGTATGTATAATGTTTAATGTAGTGCATAATTCCTCATTAATAATTAAAATATGTATTTTAAATTGCTAAAGTGTGTTTACTTTTGATATATTGATAATATTTGCTAACTTAAAGATAGATATGACTAAGTTGACAAACTTTTTTTAAAATGTCATCAGTGTGCATCTTTATCAAATGCACATTGTCAAAGTGTGCAAACATTATCAGTGTATGGAAAGAAAGTGCACTTCAATTCAAAATGTGAATATTAAATATTAAATAAGGATTATGTGATATACTGAAAAACACTTAACTTTTGTCAAGAAAATATTTTTTATGTGTTGTTGTTCTCATCATGTACACGTATCGTGTGATTAGTTTTGGCTAAAAAAATTCAGAGAATTGCTTGAACTTGGTACTGTGCTTGGGCCATAATCACAATCATTTCAGAAAAAATGAAATTTTCGTGCACACTCCAATGAAGCACTCTTAACATAGTGAAAATAAAATTGGGATTTTAGTAGAAAATAGCAATCAAATGCAAAAAACATGTGACCAAGAGAGAAATATCCCATAATCATATAAATTCATGTCAGAATATCGTCTAACTATGGTAGTCAGGTTACCAAAATAAAATTATTATTAAACAATAAAAATGCCAAATTTGGTATGTCCCTGGTATTTCACTTTAGCCAGTATTCTTATCAAATTAATAAATCTATTATATAGAGCATTAAGCATCAATTATGTATTAAAGCAGAAAGTAGCTTAATATTGTTAATTTGCATATTGGTATTTTCCATCAAAATTTTGGGTAACAGCCATCAGTTCACAGTTAAATAGACTACAGCAGTTCACTATTAGTATTCGTTGTGTACCAGTCACTTAAAGTGTGATTTCTTTTTACCTACTGTTGACTCTTATGTAGTGCTTCTGGCAGTTTATAAATTGTTACACTTTTAATATAAACATTTTTTTATTTATAATTTTAAAAGTGTCTTATTCCCAAATGTGAAATTCTTATATCAGACCTAAATTTTTCACAGAAATGTAATTAACATTTTCAAATACAGTAATCTTGTTCTTATATGATGAGTTAGTAACATTGCTCAATAATTGTGTACATTATAGACCTTTGCAAGCAACTTGTTTCAATTATTGAATCATGCATAGATACTTTCATTCATATGATAGCACATACAGGATGTATGAAAGTTAATGGAACAGACTTTAAGAAATGACGGAACACACCAAATTAAGTTATTGGAAATTATTGAACCACTTTGTTACAATGAGAAAGTTTGAATTTTAATGTGAATACAGTGAACCCTTACTGAATATGAGGATTAGTTAGGTATAGTTAAGATTAAGAAAGTATGTGTAATTTAAACAAACCTAAATACCATGTTAATTCTAATGGAGAAATGAAACAAATTTTAATTGAAAGGAAATTTCTGTTACTGTTAAGTAGATTGATACATGATACAATGATTTTTTTTTTTAATAGCTGTTGATTTTTCCTTGAGCAATGTCTGATACAACTCATTAAATGTTCATGGTAGTACAAAGTTTTTCAATATCTCTCTTAAAGTGCCCTTTTCATTCTTCATTTGGATCAATCTCCGATACAGTTATTCATTTGTCATTTCATGTCGTCCGTCTCAATTATTTTTTTTAATTTCCTCTTCCATATTTGAAAATCATTCCCTGCCTATTGATTTTGCAATCTATACAATTCCCTAGGCTAAATTTAAACATGCCTGAGCTAATAGGCTTTGAATAATTTTATGATTCCTTGATCCATTGATTGGACTAAGAAAGTGAGGTTTGGAGGGAGTAATAAAACCTCTACATTTGAATGCAATGTTATGAGGGCCTCGGTATCATGTCCTGGGGTATTATTGTGAATTAGGACAACTTGAAAACTCAGGTTTTGCTGTTCTAAGTAATGTTTGACTTCTTTCATGAATGAATTTTCAAACATTTTAAAATTTCTTTAATGAATTTTAATCATTAAAGAGCGATATTGGGATGCGGACGATGCTCTGCAGCATATTGTGTATAATTGAAATTCTTGCATTAAAGAGGTAAATGCAGATAATTAAGTAATGTGCATATGCGAAATAATGTTCGGCAAGCATTTACTGTATGTGGTATATGCAATTTTAAGTTTTTTTTGTGTTCTTTTTAATTGTATTGAGAAGTATTTTACAAACAAATATCTAATCAAGTATATACACATTATCCCATCAACTTACCATCAAACAACGAAAATAGGCAGAAATATTTCCAAAGTTGCATTAATTATTCCTATGTAATCCTAAGCCGCACTTCTGTATGCAACGTACAATAAAACATTTGTCAATCTGTGTGCATAATCCACCAAATAGTCACTGCTAAGGAAGTATTCAATCCACTTCACTTTTGCACTTCGTTAAAAAGCTTTTGATTTCTTCTATATTGTTGGGCCTTCAATTTTACTGAAAGTTCTGTTTAGAAAATTAGGAATACAAAATTTTCACGAGTGATTGTTCCAGTCTATTGCTGTTTTGTGGAATATATTTGGCTGTTAAATCACCTTCATTGGCTATAATTTCATGATTGATGAGATGATACGTGAAGTACCTCTATTCATTTATATGAATAAAGTTAATCTTGGGCTGATTTAATTTCTTACTGTAGATATGACTGGAGTATGTTTAATCAGTATCCTTTAACATTGCATTTTTTCATTCTTTGACATACTCTGATTATGTCTTGTTCTACAAAAATTGTTCTAGATGCATGTAGCTTAAAGTATAATTAATTGCTGTGTGAAATAATGAGTAGTTTTTAATAATGGTCATAGTGTTTAATATATGTATCAAAGCTGAGGTATTTAAAAATGAAGATTATTAGAATAATATATTACAATGAAAAAAGAGTTGAATCTGAAGATTTGAAGAATACATTATGTATTATCTGCAATTACATGCCATGCTTTTTGTTGTAGCATTTAGGCCATGCATATGAAGCATTTAGGTGCTGAAGGCCATTTTCCATTTCCCCATGCATGCTATATTTTGCAGCTTAAAGACATAGGGCACTTTCATATGTGCATATAAAAGTGATAGTTTTTCATACGCAATTTTTTTATTTTTATATATCTTTTATGTTTCCCAGTTGTGACATGGCAGTGTATGTAATTCATAGTAACTCAAGTTCGTGAAGTAACTTTTAGCCACAAAATGGTGGTCTCTCTTTGCCTCGCTCTTCCATTATCCCCTCGGATCCACACTTAACTGCATCATATGCACAGTGATTTCATTTTCACTGAGCTAGGCCCATTTTGCTCCTTATGGCAGTTGTGGATAAATCATCAGGTTCTTTTTCATGCAGCATTATTAATGGTTTTGGAGTGATTCAGTATATGAGTGAGGAGATAGCACATATCTTGTCTTTCCATTGCAAAAGACAGGATTATGAAAAACTGAAAGCATCTTCAAAATGAAGTGTTTGTTTTGATGTGTCCTGTCATCCCTTAAAATTTATGCCATTAGTTTTGAAACATTCTGTATGGTGTAAAATTTATTTAAAAAAAAAAAACAAAGCTTCCCCACTAGCAACATTACCTCAGAGTGTCGATTGTGCCAAATGATTTTTCTGGAAACCTTATTGTTAAATGATGCTGAGACTTAATCACCACAGATATACAAATATGAAAATATATAATTATATTTATTTTATTCAGTGCTATTTAACCATACGATATCTGTTGCAGTTATTAAATTAAACTTTAGCCATCTTTACATGTTAAGTATATCATTCTATGTATGAAAAGTACATATTTAAAGTGGATAGACATCTCCGATTATGTGGCACAGTCTTTCATTTCAATGCAGTGTTTAACTTAAGCATATGTTGAGAAAAATCTTCCATTTTATAAGTATTTTAAGATTTTGTAAATATAGTTGACATGAATTTTATTAGTGCTGCTTCATACAGGCATGAAAATATTTTGGAAATATCAGAAATATAAACAAATACTCATCTTTCTGAATCATTTTAGGGAATTCATTCAAGAAATGCATAAAAAGACTAGTTTATAGAAGAATTTCTTAATTTACATTCAATTTGTATTTTACTCTTGGAAAGTGAATTTGAAATTTTGAAATTTTAAATGGATCGCTTTTGGAAAATGTTATAAAATACAAACATACAGAGGAGAGCTTAACTTCCACCCCCCACCCCCCCAAAAAAATATTTTATTGAAGAATAATTGTCCAACAAATTATTCAATGAAACGCATTCAGAAAA